GCTGTTACCATCAAGCCTTGAAACTGACTTCCAGCTAATGACCCAAATAAACTGTACTTGAAATTGTATAATTGAGATTGAAGGCTGTCTGGGGCTTCTGCTTGGGATATAGATTCCACATCCATGAGCTTTTGAGTATGGTCATTGAGCTGAAATGGAGAAGGTTAAAACTCTCATTTTCATTACCAAACACCCCCATCTCCCAATACAAATGTGACATTTCAATTTTGCACAGTCCAACTCTTCTTAAATCATCTGTATAAAAACTTCAGATCTTGATTGATGATGGATGAGCTATTGTCTCCTGAAGCACCCAGTTCTCATTACCCTTTAAGACAGAGCTTATTAATGATGGACCTGAAGTGCTTTCCCAGTGGGTCATCAGCAATGAACTGTGCTGAGGGCTCAAAAGACTTGGTTTGGCATGAAATTTCCAGGCCTAAGCTGTTTTCAGATGATGCATTCAGCATCTGGGGTAAAATAGGAGAAGGGATCCCCATCACTGGGGTGTTTATGGGAAAGATGCAGCACTGTCAACCTGCAAAGGTGCCTCAGCCCTGGAGAGGCTGACCTTGGGAATTCAGGTGTCATCAGCATGTGTTATATAATACATGCAGGATATACCTGTATGTGATGGAATGTAAAAGACAGCTGCTTCCTTCATGCCAGTCAACTTAAAAGGTGTAAGATGTATTCTGGTTTGCCTTTGAAGTGGTTAAGAGTGGGCTTACCCCAGTTTTTCCTAATTAACACCCTCCCCTTTGCCTGCCCACTTCAGAGCTAGTTCTTTTCCCTCTCACCATGCCATCTTCCACTTCCTAGTGCCAGCTGATTTTGTAGCACCAGGGAAGAGCTTTTAATTTGCAACCTGGAATAGCAATAGCCATTCTATAACCATTTTGTAACAATTTTAGAAGCAGATTCTACAGCGAAATGGATGTTTACAACCCCCACTGTATATAAACGTACATGAGTAACTTTCACTCCAGGATCCATTACAGAATGAGAACATGTTTTGCCAATTTAGCCCATGTTAGAGATTGGATAGCAGACCATGAGGGATTACACTGTACACCAAAAAAAAGTCAGCTCAATAAAATGCCCTTTTAACAGATGGAAGAAGAAAAGTGGTTTCCCTCTCTGATCTAAGTAGATACCAGCCTTGCAGAGCCAGTGTCCCTTTGCAGTGATTGTATGCTTCTGGTGGCTGATAATGTGTTTTTAGTGACTTCAGTCAAACTCGAGCCCCTTTTTGAGCTTGGCAGACTAAGTATGAGCTGTGTGTGGTGCACCTGTCTGTGTTCCTGGCACTTCAGCGTGAAGTGTTTGTGGTTTTTGGTTGCCAGAGACCTGTACATTTCCATCTCTCCTGTTAGTATTATATGGTAGGTTACCAAAGTCTGTGGGAATGTTTCACTAGGCTAATGAAAGCAAGAAAATAGCAGCTATAATAACAGATAATACATTTCTGATTCAGATTCTTGAGTAAATAACTATTTAAGAGAATATGCAGATATAAGTTCCCCACAATTATTTGAGACTAATGAGCAAAATAATGACAGAATTCAGTGGCAAGGACACATGCTGATTTATTTTTGTGTAACTTTGGTTGCAGAATTATACTGCTTTTAAGCCAGTATAGTATTTCTATTAAGGAAGATAAGATTTGTCATTCAGAATCAAGTGGCAGAAGCCCTTGGTGGTACTCCTTTGCTCAGGGCACGAGACTGCAGCCCTGGTGCCAAACCAGGAGATCGTGGTACTCTGAAGTGTTATACCTTCCAGAAAGATGTCCAAAGTTGTCTGGCACTTCTAGGAACTCTTTTCCTAGTAAAAGCTACTGGGTCTTTTGCTTAGAAATCCCCTTTTGCACCTTCATGTCCCTGAGCAGGGTGGAAGCCCAAGGGGGTGGCACTTGCTGCTAGCAGGGTCATACTTGCAATAACAGTTTTCCAATGTCACAAAACATTGTTTTGGAAGACAAAAAATACTCGCCCCCAAATGGTATTTAAAATATGTTTCACTCTGAGCAGTCTGGTTTGGGGCTTCTTTGGCAGGAACTGGCTCCTTTGTTCACAAAATTCACTCAGGGACTTGGCATTTTCTCTTCTGCTCCAGCCTTGGAAAGAGCTGAGCACAGAGGCACCTCAGGTGTTGCATACAGGAGAAAAAACCTCTTTTTGCCTGGCTTCCATTGCTGCCTGCACAGGCAGAGAACCTGCCTTTCTCCTCCTGTTCATTGTTTAACTTTATCTCTCACTTTCAGGGCCGTAAATTAAAATGAGATGATGACTTTATGATGATGAGTTCATTATACAGCAGCTCTATTGTATATTGATTACAGTTGTGCTTCATTTGCTTAACATGTAACAGAGTTTATTAGCTCTTCCCAGGCATTGTTCTTGCTAAGAGAGGGCAAAGAAGTGCAAAATGCATTTTGAGTTGAGGTCGGTGAAGCCAATTCATCTGTGCTGATTTACACGCACAGAGGACTTGGTGTAAAGAAAAGGAGGATAGCAGGTTGGATTGGGAAGGTGGAGTGGAAATTAATCTGGGGCCCAGGGAGCAGGAAGAGTGAAATACAAGTGCTCTAAAGCTTGTACTAAACCTCAAGTTTGAATCTAAAAGTTGGACTCAGTGTTGCTTAATATCTACAAGAACCCACCTTGGATATTACTCAGTTTTGTTTGCACCTCAACCTGGAAATTAATTAATTCTGTCACTGGTAAAAAATGGTGCAGTGCAGGGAAATTGGAGGTACTGTATCCCATTTTTGGATAAAAGCAGCAGAAAGCACTTGCTATTCGGTGATGAGGCAAGTCTGAGCTTTGTTTTGTGGTTATTTCTAGTAAATCACAGTGGAAGGTGTTGGCTTCCCTGAAGTATAGCATATGATGCCCTTCCTGGTTACCTTTATGCTGAAAAAAAATCTTTCTCCACAAATTAAAACTATTTGAATTACGTTTAGATTGAGATCCTGCTATACAAGAATGTGTCAAAGTTCCTAGGAGGAAAGAAACTTGGATAGGTATTGCCATGAGGGGATGCTCTTGAAACCCAGAAACTGGGCCTGTTCTGTGTGCAGCTGACAGAGAAGCTGTGTAGAACTGTGTGTGGGAAATGGACTTGCAGAGAATTTTCAAAGCTTATGATGTATTGTAATTGGAAAATAGTTGGCTTCTGATTGTGATGGTGTGAATTCCAACATCTGTATTATCTCACCCTTCACAAGAGACTGAAAATGGAATAAAGGTTTTTAAAACACCTCTCAGTTACCCCATCTCTAAGTAAAAAAAGAAAACAAAAATGAACTTAATCCAACAATTGTGTGTGTGATTAAGAAGCTATAAATGCAGATTTTGCAGTTTTTCATTGTTTTTCTGTTCTTTTTAATCAAAATCTGGGCCATAATGGATTAGGTAATTCAGTATAGCTGAAGCAACACAGAAAAATCATCTCTGATGATGATTTCAGGTGTTCTTCTAAGTCCCTCTTTCTCCCCAGAGCAAAATTGTTAACAGATGCTGTATGTTTATTTTTTTTCCCCTGTGATCATAAGAATATTATACAGACAGATCATTGCTATATCTCTAATCTGGACTGTTTTTCTGTAGCAGATTATTATCATTGTTCTCATTTATAAGCCTCTTTTCAATGAAAAGCCAAGCTTTTAAACCTGAGGTTTCTAAGAAATACTAATACTGATTAATATGGTGGGAAGATGTATTTACAGATGATCCTTTATTTAATACATTCCTTGATTGGGGGCTGCTTCATTAACATGCTGTGACCTGTAAACCCTGAAATTTAAAAAAGAAATAAAACACAGTCATTCCTTCTGTGGTGAGTGTAAAGGTTTGCATTCCCACTACAGCTTTTAAAGGTTTTCGGGGCAGATGAGAGTTCTCAGACTGTCTTAATCAGGAATTCCATAGTCAGGAATTATTCTTCATGTCTCTGTGTGGCACTCCTGGCTCTACAGCACCACTTCATGTCATTCCAAGGTGTCATTAGTAACTAACCTTCAGCATTTCTCTGCTGAGGCCTGAAGCTTTGACACTGGAGGTTTTAGACTCACAGTTCCTGTTAACTTTCATCAAAGTCACAGGCATTGTCTCCTGCTTTGGAAATAAAAGAGACAGGTTAAGTAGAGGAATTGTGAATTAGAACAAGGGTTTAGGGGGCAAAAAAAAAGTTTTTGATCCAGAGGAAAGCTTGATGTGTTAGCCAACATCTGTAAGATCATTTTCATGTTGAGATTTCATGAATCAAGTCTTCAGAGACAGGGCAACAGAGCAGGTTTCTAAACAAACTGCTATAAATACAAAAATAAAAAGAAAATCCGAAAACCCCAACAAAACACACAAAAGCCCCATAACCTAAGAAGAACCCCAAAACTTCTACCTGTTTAAAACCCATCTCTAACACAAAGCTCCCAGCAAGGCACGTCCATAGGGGTTTGGATCATGATGTTTGAGATTTGGATTGTTGCTTGGAGTATTTGGGTGTTTTGGATGATGGTATTACAGCAGCACACGATGTAATATAACATTTTCCTCAGACCTCGTGCTGACTGGCCCCTTCTTGTGTCCTGTGGGCTCATCACAGCATGGTTGTTTATTGTAAGTTTTAAGCCCTTTCTGCAAATTAATGAAATGCAGTATAGTGTGATTGATTGCTTGTGTTTTTCAAGTCATTTAAGTGTTGAAGGTTATTTTACCCACAAAATACAGAACTGTTCCATACGTGATCACACTGGAACAAAAAGTAAACAACTGTGTGTCAGTCTTCATCAGGTTTCTTCTGCATGTGAATAAAGGGTTTCTGTTTACAAATACTGTGAGCTGCTTGTCCTCCAGTTTTCAGGTTATTAAATGAGATTACAGTCAGAATTTTTTTTTTTGCATTTAAATATCCTTTCTCCAACACACATTTAGCAATAGATTGAATCAGCTGTCTGAAGTCTTACAAGTATGTTGTTTTCTTGTTCTTCTGCACAGAGATACTGAATGGAGGGGTGTATGTTGGCCAGAACAAATTTCTCTGCTTTGCAGACACCATTCATTGGCAAGACATCGTGCGTAACCCCTGGGCCTCCAACTTCACTCTGGTTCCAACGAATGGCAGCTCAGGATGTAAGTACTGCTTTTATTCTCAGCCTTGTCATCCCCTCAGCATGAAACAGGATAAATATGGCCACAAGTTTTCCCTGATCCTCTGTTACGGAGAATTATGTTGGTAAATTTTCCTTTCATTGTTCCCTGCACTTTTCTAAGTTTGTCTGCTGCTTGGAGGACCACTTAGTCTGTTCTAAAACCAGTGTCTGTAGAGGGTATTTGTGAACATCATAGATTTCATCTGCTTTGTCTCTTCTGCATTTTCTTTTTCTTTTTTATTGCTGAAGCCACTGTGGTGCTGTGGAAGCACAGACATTCTTGTTTGCTTTGCATTTGTTCCTGCTGCTCAGGCTGGTCCTTGAGCCACAATGGTCTGTCTATGGCATCATAATTAGCTGCTGGAGTAATTATGGTGAAAGCTCACAGATATTCTGACTTTAGATGAGAAGTGAACCTCAAAGAAATGGTTATCCTGTTGTTTTGGGTGCATATCACTGAAGAGAGAGAGAGAATTTGCAGAGGATGGGGTGTTCTTCAGAATACAACCAATCATTCTCTGCTTTTTACTACATTTTCTTTATTTTAATGCTTTCCATTCCAAACTTGAAATATCTATGCGTTTAGAGTTTCTCTATTTCCCTTCCCAAGAATTATTTGCTTTCAGTGAATCATTCTTATGATTCTTGCAGCAGTAATGGATTGTAGTGAATGGTGGTGACAGGGATACAGAGTGTTTAAGCAAAATATTCCATAATGGAGTAAAGTGCATTCAGAATGAATGCTGTGCTGTTAAACAGCACCCTCAGGATGTACCAACACTGAAATTCAGAGACAGCCTGGCAAGAAGTTTATATCACATGTCAAAGGTGGCACCACAGTAGGCATATTGTTCTGAGCATTCCAGATTTGGGGACATTCTGGATTGCCTTCTATATCTGAAGGTGTCCCTTGAGGATGTATCAATGACACATTGCCTCTCTAAATTCCACTACAGCCAAGAAACATTTCATTTATTTAGTTGTATGGAGGTAACTTGGAAAATAAAATGTTGAGACCCTGGATAGGGGCCATTTGATGAGTCCCCATCATTTCTAAGCAGCAACTTGTTTTTAACCAGGTGCTTTGTGGTGTAATAGATTTTATACAAGGCTGGCTTGCTTGTGTATATCTCATCTGCTCCCCTTAATACCAGAGCACAGGTACTTGTGCTAAAGCTTCCTCCAGGAGCCTGCCAAGCTGTGCTGCTCCTCCACATCCCAGCTCCAGAGCTGAGCCTCATCACTTCTGCCTGCTGGCTGGAAACCTGACATAGTTGTAATGCAGTCAGCTCTCTTATTTGCATCTTAAAAACCCCTCATCACTGCTGATGATCAGTTCTAGGCAGAGCTGATGAAACCTTTGAAGGTGAGGGAATGCCTGTACCCTTTTATAAGTCATTGCTTCAAGAAAAAGCCACTTGGTTCTTACTCCGTTTTGTTCTGTTATTGGGTTTTCTTTTAACCTTTCCTAGTTCTTCAAGACAAATGCTTCTGCTCTTTTAAAAAAGCAACCAACATCAATACTATCTTTTTGAGTTAACAGAAGTACTGGGACAAGATCCATTCTGAGTACTTTTAGAAACACACCCTGAAAGCAAAGAAGGCAGATATTGGTGCCCACACATAGCTAGATGAAAGAATGTATGTGCCCAAGTCCAGTTTTCATCAAACTTTTTTTAATTGTTTTTTGAGTTGTTTTGAAATATAGGGAAGGAACAGTTTGTGCCTTGCCATTTGTACTTGATAAATTGAGAGCTTGTACTTGATGATTGAGAGCTATATACCAAGTCAGCTTCATTAGGATAGTCACCCAAATTTTACTATATTTTTCTTCATTTGGGATGAAGCAGTGCACAACTGGACTGTAATTTAATGATAAACATGAGTATCTTCTGAGACATTCAATCCCATCTCAATACAATTCATGAGTCCTGTGAAATTTGATTAAATTAGCTAATCCAAACCATTTGTCTTCACAGCTTGCACAGGTGAGAATGTAAACCCCATTATACAAAAAGCTAACAAATGCTTAAAAAGGTCTTAAGGCTTTGGGTAACAAAAAAACTCAGGTACAGAAATCACCATTTAAAATAGCCTGTAATTAAATACTGTCTGTGTGTGTGGATGCATGCATGTACTATGCATACACATGGGACTTGGGGAAATGAACCTTGAATTTTAACCATTTAAATTGGTATAGAATGTCATTAAATAAGATATATGCTTCTCAATTTTGGCTCACGTGTCACTTTTCACTACCTGCTAGGGAATGTGAGTGCTTGCTGTGCCCAGCCTTGCTTTTCTCCACTGCTGCAGATGATGCTCAGTGCATTACAAAGTTCTTTTCTGCAAGGACTGTGACTTAGGCTTTTCTGGATCCAGCATGCGTATGTATTTATTAAGTCTCAAGTGTCTCCTACTTTCCAATGGAAATCTTGGCTAAATCCACTGGAACTACAGAAGTCCGTGCTGCTTGGCATTACTGAGAATATCCCAATGTCAAAATATTTTGGAAAGAACTACTGGGTTTTAGTGTTTATCTATATACCTTTGTAGGAGGGAATGTGAACTAACCAAACCTGCTGTGTGAAGCTCAGCAAAGTCCATCCTAGCAGTAATTTTTGGAAATCTGTAAGATCCTGTAAGACCTGGCTAGCAGCATCACAAGCCATGCTTAGCCAAGACTGGGCAGGGCTGGAGGGCACCTTTTGCCCCAGGAATTGTGAGGGCAGCGGTCCCTGGCTGTTACAGTTGAGACAGAGATGATATAAAGCAACACACTCCATTTTCAGAAGGCTTCCAACCTGTTTTTATTATAGCATTCATGCTTTTTATACATTCTTACAAAGCTCATAAGTTTACACTTTACTCATTGGTCACAAAAGACAAACAGTGCTTATTGGAATAGGCACTTGCAGGTTTCTCTTATTTACCCTTCTTTCACTCTTGGTTTCTATGTCAACCACCTTGGTGTAAAATTATTTCAGGGGTAAACATGGATCCCCTTTAGGAAAGTTCGCTCTGGCTCATGGAAGTTGCTGTAAAACCTCTTCCACACCTGGCAGTGAATACGTGCAGGGACAGAGGCTGTGACCTGCCATGGGTCTCAGAATCTGGTACCTCAGCCAAACACAGCACCAAACACAGTTTGGCACACAGGCATCACTGGTGTTGTTTCCAACCACCAGTAGAGGATAAAACCTCTCCAGAGGTGCCTACAAGTCCAAAAGAGCAGTGCCCAGCCCAGAGAAGCCCCCCGTGCTTGCTGGGCTTTGGCCATGGCCAGAGTGGCTGCAGCAGGTTGGTATGAATGCAGTGTCACACCAGGCACAGCTGGGCACTTGTGTGTGTGGAGCTCAGGCACAGCCCTGTCAGGGAGCTGCCACTGCAGCTGCCACTGCTGTTCCCTTCCCCAGCCAGCTGGGAAAGCTGATAATGGTCTGACTTCAGGGATAATTTCACTTGAATCCTCCCTCCCTGCTCCAGTGCAGGAAGCAGAGGAAGACAAAAGGGTGGAGTGAAATGAAGAGGCTCTGAAGTAAAATCAGTCCCCTGCTTCTGTGGCTGTTTCATACCTTGGATCTGCCAATTCTGACAATCTCCTTCATTCAGATCAGTGCCAGACAGAAGAGAATATGGCCAGTGAACTCTCCTCTGATTCCCTTCTTCACGGGCTTTCATTGTCACATCAGTGCTAAGGAGCCAGTTGAAAAGGCCATGGTGTCTCAAACACTGACAGAAATACTGCAGACATGTGAATCCCGAGTGCTGCTTCTCCTTTTTCCATCCAGTTCTGATCAAATGCATGCAGAAGAGCTCGTGTTGGAGGCCTGTGAGTGACACGGTGTCACCGTGCAGACGCACAGAGGCGGTGGCTGCTGGCGCAGCGCTCAGATAAACAAACCCTGCACCAGGGACCACATGTGCTTCAGCTCTCCCTGGACACAGCCTCTGTGCCTGGCATTTTGACTCACACACACACTGAAATGTTTACTGCTAGCACCACCTTCCCATTCCAGTGTCACGTAGCTGGAGCTTTTGGAATTAGTTGTAACTTGAAAGCAGCCTTCTCTTCTGTTTACCTGAATTCTGCACTGCCAGCCTGGGGTTTGAGGCTGAGCACATCGCAGTGGGAATCTCCAAAGCACTTAAGTCTCCAAGGAACAAAATTCTCTCTTTAGGTTTGCTTTATTGAAATTGTTTCTGCAACAACGCTGAAAATCTATTTTCTCTCCTTCCACAAATCAGCCACAAATTCAAACATTGGCCAAACATGCTGAAGCCTTGATTTGCAAGAGCCTATTCCCCTGTTAGTGCATCCAATTTTTGGATTCAGTCCCTTAAATGAAGAGTTGCAGCTCTGCTCTCCAGAGGTAGAAACCCAGGGTGCACTCCCAGCAGGGAAAATAAATAAAGCAGGGAAAAAAGAATTAGGCTTCTTGCCTAAAATGCCTCCAGATTAGTAGAGCTCTCTGAGCAGATTTTGGGAGAGTCCAGTGAAAATCTGGCTGCTTTCATCTATGTCTCCAATGTTCTCCTCAGTTTTGTTGTTTGCAGTCTCACATTTTGGAATTAGGCTTCTTGACTAAAATGCCTCCAGATAGTAGAGCTCTCTGAGCAGCTTTTGGGAGAGTCCAGTGAAAATCTGGCTGCTTTCATCTATGTCTCCAATGTTCTCCTCAGTTTTGTTGTTTGCAGTCTCACATTTTGTCAGGTGAGCTCTTTCACAGGATTTGATAAAGACCATAGTATTAAATCAGAATTTTCAGAGGAACTTTACTTGGAGCTCTTGTTTCACAGAAAAGCTTGTAGAGTTAGAATTTTTGCATTGAGGTCACTTCCATAGCCAACAGCATGTGTTCAAATCAGTCAATAATGCTCTTAAAAATATTGAAACTATGGATGCATGTTCACGATAGAGCTGGTGACTGTTTGGGTAATATGTATGCAAAAATCACTCTAAAATGTTCAAGTTTAGAA